TATGTTACACATTTCTGTATTTTTGGAATGTTTTTCAAAGAGCACATATTACATGTGTGGAACAGAGAAGAAAAAACAAAGCAGACTTTTAAGAAATTTGAACAAGATCAAGAGAGCATTTCCCTTTCTCTTCTTTTGCAAGAATGGGGTAGAAAGAAGAAGTATTAGTTTTCTTTCTTTCAGGTTCATGTTTGCAGGTCGTGAAGAAGACCAAACAGGTGCAGTTTCCTGGAACCTGTATCATTCTAGTCCCACATTTTTCTCAGTTCTTGGCAGCCAGGGATGGCTACAAATCTGTAACCATCATTAAACACTGCTTACACTAAACATTGCTCTTATAGGGCTTAGAGTCTCAAGGATATAACTTGATCTTTGTGGACAATCTTGTGACCATGTCAGTTTCAGTTTTCCAATTAAGTTCTTAATAACAAAAACAATAGTACATCTCTTTGGAGCCTAGCCACCTAACATTAAATATTATTGATTGTCTAATTTATTAGTCAATTTTCTTAAAAACTTTACCCTTTTTCTCAACTCTGAATGGAATCCTTCATTCTCCAACAGTGTACAAGCAGGTGGCACTTTTCCACAGATTGCCAGCTGGAGAGTAGCTTGCAGCCTCTCATACTTCACGCTCTGATTTAGATTCCATGGGGCAAATGCCTACTTCTGCTTAAACACAACGTCCTTAGAGCCAATCCCAAGAGATGAGGTCAAGGAAGCCTGGTCCCTTTTATGTCCCTGCACAATTCCAAAGCCAACTCTGCCCAGAGCAGGCAGTATTCTGACAAAGCTCTGCTGCAGTCAGAAGAATCTAGGACCATGCTCAAACTCTTCTCCATAGCCTTCCCTTCTTTATCTTCCCTCAACCCTGACACTATTCAGGTGGCTACAGTTCCAGCAATAGATATTCTATTTGCATGAAGCCTTATCACTGCTTTCAAATCTCCCATAGTATTTTCAAGCTAAAGAGTGAGCCAGTCTGAAATGGATGTTGGCCAGACTGGGCCAACAACTTCCTTGGGGCATTTTAGCCTTCTACAGCTGTATGGTAACTGCACTCTACATCTACGTTAGTCCTGTCTGCTTATATTCAACTCCTCTTCTCCAACAGACTGTTCAAGAGGAGGCAGCATGCTATTTGCTGAGCTCATGCCTATAAATGTCTACAGATCCTGACATTGTCAGAATTTCAATGTAGGAGGAGCTCAGGTAGGACATAAAAGTTTCATTTGCATAGAAATTATAGGATTGAGACAATGTCAGACAATCAAAAATGGGGACAGCAGGAGGGTCCCATACAACTAAAATCCCTCTTCTCTTGTCTTGGCTCCCTCCTGGCTTGCTAAAGGCCAAGGAAACAGAGCACACACAGCAAAAAGAAACCTACTTGACTTCTCACATATGGTATCACTTTTCCTCATAAACCATGGTGTATTTACACATTAAGAGCACCCCTACATTGCTCAGTAACAAGCATCCATAATCATCTCAATGACTAATATAGGAAACATGACATTCTGCCAGCAAACTAGCTATAAGAGTACCCTAGAGACGATGTGCCTGAGCATATAATTATTGGAGATTGGACCCAAACTTTAGAGGAGTCTAACCAGCTACAAGGACAGGTCTCTGTTACACATGCAGATTATGTGTATGCAGGACTCCCAGGTCCTGGAAAGAATGTTCATTTGGCTTAAAAAAATGTAAATAAATAAAAGCATTTCCTCATCCTAAAATTGGGCAAATTAGAAGGCAGGACTGGAGTATTCTTCTCAAGCCGGAGTAAAATACTAAGAAATTAACCTGAAATCATATCAAAAGACTAATTGTTCTCATTCAGATGGCAAAACTGAGAAGCAGGGTCAGGAGGGAGAGTGAAGGCACCAGTTTTCTCCTGAAGACCATGGAACCTGCTTTGTACCCAGGAGAAAATACCACATTAGCTCATTTAGTTTTATAGTGGGTTCATATATGACAATTTTCTGTAGATATATAAACACCTTTGCCCAGTTTTCTAGTCTATGTTTTAAGTATCTTGCACTACAGATAATTCTAATAAGTATATAAAAATCTAAATTTGTGAGAAAGTTACAGGATGATGCACCACAAAACAAAATTTTCTTTGAAAGGATTTGCTTCATGTCTCAAAAATTTTAAAATTCAATATATACATTACAGAAACCTATATAGTTTATATCTTATAAGACTACATAAAATTTTAGAAAAACATATATAGTATAAGTCTATAATATCAAGTAAAAGTGAGGAAGAAGGAAAAATTGATTTTAGAAAAAGTTTAACTATATAAAGCCCAGTGTGGCCGGGCACTGGTGGCTCACACCTGCAATCTTAGCTACTCAGGAGGCAGAGATCAGGAGGATCGAGGTTCAAAGCCAGTCTGGGCAAATAGTTCACAAGACCCTATCTCAAAAATACCCACCACAAAAAAAGGGCTGGTGGAGTGGCTCAAGGTGAAGGCCCTGAGTTCAAACCCCAGTACTGCCCCCCCAAAAAAACCCCAAAAGACCAAAAAAGCCCAGTATGGTGGTACATGCTTATAATCCTAGCACTCAGGAGGTTGAGACAAGGAGGAAAGAGAGTTCAAGGTCAGCCTGAACTACAAATATAGTTCCAGGCCCTATCTCAAAACAACAACAAAAAATATGCATATTAGAATTTATTTGATTTATTTCTTTTATAAACAAAGATTAAAAGATTCTTTTTCTTTTGGCAGTACTGGGATTTGAACTCAGAGCTTTGCCCTTGCTAGGCAAGCATTCTACCACTTGAAACATGACCTTTTCAAAATCAAGATTAAAAGATCTACAAAACAATAATTAATCATAACTAATAAATATTTTTAACATTTAAGAATGAATTTTTGGACACAGAAACTGGAGGCATTAAGAAATTATCCTTTATTTCTTGAACCATGGTTTCGAAAAACTACTCAACTTTTTATCCAAGAATCCCAAGTACAAAATGTAAATGAAAGTGAGGCATGTTGCCACACATCTGTAATCCCAGAACTTGGGAGACAGAGGCAGGAGGATCTCAAGTTCTAGGATAGCCTGAGTTATATAGGGAGTTCAAGGTGAGCCCCAGCTACACAGCGAGACTCTTGTCTGTGACAAGGGCTATGATGTACCTCATTGTTAAAGCTATGTGTATGAGGCCCTGGGTTCCATCCCCAGCACCACACGCACATAAAAAAAAAATCTGAATAATGAGAGTTCAAATCGCTGAATTGCCACTACTTAATCAACACTCATTTCACAAGTGGGAGCATAGACAGAAATGGAGTGACAAGATGTGACTCAGTACTGGTTACTCATCTGAATAAAAGCATTCTAATACCCTGAATGCCCACAGGACTGAACGTTAGAATTACAAGTGATCTTAGATGCCAGTGGTCTAGCCTGTCATACTGTTGGTCACTATGCAGATACCACATAAACTGATGATTTGGGAAGATGTATGCTGGCTACTTGTAATCCTTCTAACAGTTAGAAGGATGTTGTATGAGAGAAGCCAAATCAAAGATCAGTGGATGAGCAAGTTCACCCAGGCAAGTGCACATTTGCTTCCCTTCTAGCTCATCTTAACTATCTACACTTGATGCCTAACTTTTTAGGGATTTCCTCAATGGGATCCGACCATGCTGGTACCACTGGGATCCTCATAGTGTTTCCTTTTCCTCCCAGTTGCAGGGAAATACATAAAATAAATTTGTTTCCCAAGGGCTGGCTGAGCTATTGCATGACTATGTGTTCTATTCCAGATATATCTGAAACTGAGCTTTATGTCTTCTGGCAATTCATTAGGGACTTCTAAGTTTCTTTTTTTCTACACATTTCCTGATACTTAGAGCCCAGCTGACTCTCAGGCCCCTTGGCTTCTGCCTTCAGTTACATTAGAAACTCTCTTCTTGAAATTGACCTTGAGTTTGTAAAAACTGGAACTTGAAGCAACCTGAAGGAGCACATTTCCTTCTCATCCGTGTACACCTTACTCACCACAATGGAGAACACTGACAATGTGCCCACCCATGAACTGCCAGAACTCATTTCCTTTACAAGTAAAAACATCAGGCTTCTGTAGTCATAATAGAGAGGAGCTTCAGCTAAGTGTTCTAAGATTTGATGTTTATGATGAGTGGGAAAAGCAAGTCTTAAGAATAACTATTTGATTTTATTTAAAATAGACCTGTTTGTCTGTGAAAGAGGAAATGTCTCAAGTGACACAGTGATGGTTGCCAGGGAAGTGGGACTGTGGTGTGCAGACTAGGTGAGGAAAGAGCTTTACTGGGCATGTAAACTACTTTTTTTTTTTTTTTTTTGGTAGTATTGGGGTTTGAACTCAAGGCCTCATGCTCACTAAGCAGACACTGGCACTCTAATACATCCTTAACCCTTTTTGGCTTTAGTTATTTTACAGACAGGGTCTTAAGTTTTTGCCAGTGTCTGTCCTTGGATCATCATCTCCCTACCTATGCCTTCCAAATAGCTTCTGAGTACCTGGGATTACAGGTGTGAGCCACTATGCTAAATGGAGAGAGAGAGAGAGAGAGAGAGAGAGATTTGGCAAGACTGGGGTTTGAATTTTTTTTTGAGACAGGGTCTTGCTATGTAGTCCAGGCTGTCCTCCAACTAAAGCTCGTCCTGCCTCAGTCTTCTGAGTACTGGTATTATAGGTATGGGTCACCATGCCCAGCCTAAATTCTTAAAAATTAATTAGAAGATGGTACACACATTCACAGAGAATCCTTAGCAACCTTGAGTGCATTTAAAGTCCAGAAGCTGCTACATTCTCAGTCTGACTGGTTCCACGGATAGTTTAATTCCTTCTCCAGACATTCCTTATGTATCACCTTCTGGGCTGAGCAGGAGGCTACCAACATAAGTAACACCTGGTCCATGACAGGATGGAATCTACCCCAGAACACAGGTAAGAGGAACAGTGAATTTGGTTAAGAATGGGCACAGTCATCAGCAGGGGTACACCAGCTCCATCACTTGACTCATAAGTGGCCTTTTGTAGGCTTCATCTCTTGGCAGTGCAAATTGACAGGCGTCATCCTTTTAAATGTCAAATTTAGGATTAAGACTCCAGTTAAGACACCTTACGTCATTGGGGAAAGAGAAGACCTCTGAACCCACCAGGGTAACCAGAATACTTTTGCAGCGGCACACAGATTCAATCTTCTTTGGGGTCTCTGATGAGTAATGTAGATACTAAGACAGCAAAAGGCGTAGCTGATGACTTTAACCAAATTTTACCTTTCAACCAAATCCCAGAAAATAATCTGCAACAAAGCGGCAAATGGTGCAGAGTGCTATGTTGAACAGCAGACTGTACTTTTTTTTTTTCTGCCCAACTTCACGTTTCCATGCACCAAAATGGTGATGTTATAAAAATCGGATCGCTCGCTTACCTGACAGTCTCCTTGTACCCCACTGGGGCGCGAAGAGAGCGGCGGCAGGAGCGGGCTCCACCCGCCGCGAGTTCAGGGGCTGGCCCCGGGGGCGGGAGCCGCCCGCCCCGCCCGCAGTCAGTCCCCGGCGCGCACGCGCACGCACGCTCCCCTCGGCTTCGGGACCTCGGCTCCTTAGCAGCGCCACGACGGACCCGCTCCTCGGGCGAGGCTCCGAGGCGTGCGCAGCCACGTGACCGGCGTCAACATGGCGGCGTCCAGCGGCGCCCACCTGCTCGTCCTCCGAGGTAAGCGCCGGGAAGACAGCCGCGCACGGGCTCGCTCGCTCGCTCGCTTTCTCGCTCGAGGCGCTCCAGGGCCCAGACTTCTCGGCGCGCGCAGTGACACAGTCACACGCCGTAGAACGGGACCAACTTGTCCACTCCTCACTTGCTGGACCACGTCCCTGCGAGGCAGGTTCTCGATCGTTACGGGCCATTGTCTCAAGTTTTCCTCCACTTAACCTCTGTCATTAGTGTTGCAAACAATCATTGCCCCCGCCGAGCATTGAAACCTACCGGCATCTGGAATGCTCCTGGATACTCAGTTGCCTTGTCCAGAGCTACTTATTCTATTGACCATGGTTTGTTGTTTTAATTTTGTTTTGTTTGAGGAATTTACAAAATGTAATTATCTCTTCCGATGACTTAAGAAAACAAATGAAGTCTGGTTAGTTCCAGAGGTTATCCTGAGTGAGCATTGGGATTTTAGTTAAATGTACAAAATACTTTTGGAGCCGAATTAGGGGAATCTTTGTTGGATTTAAACTAGATTCTCAATCTTTGTTGGAAAGAACTCGGAAGTTGTTTCAAGGACGAAGAAACAAGAACTAACAATTTGAGAGTGTCAAGTATGTAGGAACAGTTTTGAGAGAAATACTATTTTTGTAGTAATAGCTACCATTTTGAAAACCTTTTAAGTATATTGATACTGTGTTAAGCACCTTATAAAAATAGCTACGTTTTAAAACCTAGTGTGTTTGAAATTACTTCTTTTCATAGTGGAAAAGTGAAGCTACAAGGTTAATGTGACTAAAGGCACAGAGATGGTAAGAGGCAGAATGTGCATTAGAACACGACTAAGTTTTTTTAAAGGTCTTTCCATAGAAATTAGTGTGCGAAGTTCAGGTGAGGCTGGAAAATATGAGTGTATTTAAAAACAAAAAGGAAGGTTCTTTTAAAGAGGAACAAAGTTGTTGGGTGGATAGACCTCAGTATTTCCGTGTTTGTGGCCATAAGAAGGAGCCTCCGGAGGATTTTGAGAGTTGTGTAAAAGGAAAGGTTGTTAGGTAGCATTTTGAGCTGGTTTCGAGGAAGAATGGAGGTCGACATGAGACTGCTGCATTGTGAAGAGAGCCAGTTTACATCTCTTAAAATCTCTACTCCAGTCCATATTCTATTTGCAAATTAAATTTTTCCTATTTCCTTTTATTTATTTATTTATTTATATTTATTTATTTTTGTGGTACTGGGCCTTGAACTCAGGACTTTCACCTTGGGCCACTCCACCAACCCTTTTTTTGTGTGTGTGACGCCCTTTTCTGAGATAGTGTCTCTCGAACTATTAGCCCCAGCTGGCTTCGAACAACAATCCTCCTGATCTCTGCCTCCTGAGTAGCTAGGATTACAGGCGTGAGCCACTGGCACCCGGCCCTATTTCCTTTTTTGACAAGAAATAATGGTGATCAGATTGCAATGCAGGTAATAATTGGTGGGTAGAATTTGGAGAGATAGTCAAGGTAGAGGAGTCAAACTGTTTCGGGAAATTATAAACTGAGTCTCTGAAGCAGATTAGCAGGAAGCAATGTTTATTGTGCCGGCACAGACCCAGCGATTCCTATCCAAAGGCTGAGCCCGGAGAACAAAGGGGGGTCTCACCTTATATACCCTTGCAAGCAGGTTACAGAAGCAAAAAGCAAAGCTCAATCCACATATGGCTGCATGTGACTTCACTGGCTATTTCATTTTTCCAGTGCTATGTGACCTTCATGTTTCAATTCCTTAAGTTTTCTCTCTGCTTTGCCATCCTTTCCCCATGTCTGGTCGTCAGAACACAGCCTGTCTGTTTCTTTTCTGGCCTCCCCTTTCTTGCTGCAAAACAACAACAAAATCCCAAACTGTAAATATAGAAGTGTGTGTGTGTGTGTGTGTATACATGTACATATAAATGTATGCAATTTACGTATGTTATATAATCCCTTTGCAGATTACAGTAATAACATTAATATTTTCCTTCCTTGTCACTTATGATTTTGACAAATGGTAGTTTGAATAATCTTTAGAAAAACTACTATATTTGGGAAGCTAAGCCAGGTAATTGCTCCCTATAACCTATCACACCATATCCCTTGGTGCAGCCACAAACATGAGGGGGATCTTTTCATTAGAAAAAGAAAAGACAATGCATGATCAGGAAGAGATTTTAGTGATGAGAAAAGGGCCCTTTTATGGGCTATCCATAGCTAGTTCTAAATTGCAGGCAGATTTTTCTGCAATCTGCTCTCCACCTCCAGGATGGAAAATGAAAAGTAAACTCATAAAGATTCTTCTGTCCATTCTCTTCCTCCTCTTTGTCTACAGTGATGCAGAGCTAAGAGCCTTATAGGCTAGGACCGAAATATTTCCAGGAATTAGCACTGGCAGGAAATCCCACACTCAAGAGCACAGAATTCTCAACATTGGCCTGAGGAACCCTCTCCTAGCTTAGTTTCTCATGCCCAATCCCCCACTTTGCTAGAATCCTGTCTTCACTCCTGAGTCCACTATGTTCAATCTTTTGCTTAGTGAATATGAAAAAGAATAGGGAAGGTAAGGGTTATTTATTGGCAATACTGGGATTTGAACACAAAGACTCAAACTTCAAACTTGCTTTTTACCACTTGAGCCATTCTTTGGCCCTTCTTTACACTCTTGTTCCTTGTATGAGTTAGTCTCCTCTGGATTGCCTCCTGCCACTCTGATGTTTCTTAGACATCACTAGTGTCTTTTGTCAAGTTTCTTCTGATGTCTCTCCCCTACTGAAATGTGAACTTCTTACAAACAAAGATCTTACCTCCTTATCTTTGTGTCCTAAAACCTGCAGCACATTTGGCCAGAATAAGTACATACAATTTCATAACTGAAGGGAAGGTCTTTAGAATGCAACCTCCTGTGGAAATATTTGTATAAAAATTACATGGTAGGCCAAAAGAGTAATTTATCCCAAAGGTCAGTTTTCTTTACATGACAGGCTCTTCCAGAAATAATTTTAAGACAGTTTTACTTCTGCATACTTTCTTTTTTTGGTAACTATAAGGATTTCATTCCAGGGTATTTGAACTGTGAGTCGAACTTATTGGCAACAATTAGAAAAAAAGAGGTTGGACTGGGAAATAGAAGAAATCTGAAGAAGTGCTTGAGGTTTAAGTAGTGTAGTCATGGAGAGATAAGATGAAGGGAGCTGATAGAAGTAAGCCTTTGTCCTGCCACAGTCCCATGTGGAGGGAGCAGGGAAGACTCCACTAGACCAGCAGAGGGTTTAAGCAGAAAGACCTAGTTTGTGTGAAATAGTTGGGCCCTTCCAGTGGGAGTGCTATATTGTAATATATATCATGATATGAAGTATGTATACCTTTTACCCAACAACACTGCTTTGGAATTTACCCTAAGAGCAATAGGATGAGCATGCAAAGATGTATGAAGAAAACTAACTTTATAATGATAATAATTGGGAAATATTTGGACAAAATCTGAAAGGTTCATTGGTAAGAGAATGGTTTCATGAACATGGTTCATCCATGCAATGCAGTGCTCAGCAGCTATTTAAAAAAAAAATGATAAAGGAAATGCAAATTAAAACCACGCTAAGATTCCACCTCACCCCTGTTAGAATAGCCATCATCAGCAACACCACCACCAACAGGTGTTGGCGAGGATACGGGGAAAAAAGGAACCCTCTTACACTGTTGGTGGGGATGTAAACTAGTACAACCACTCTGGAAAAAAATTTGGAGGCTGCTTAAAAAGCTAGACATCGATCTACCATTTGATCCAGCAATATCACTCTTGGGGATATACCCAAAAGACTGTGACACAGGTTACTCCAGAGGCACCTGCACACCCATGTTTATTGAGGCACTATTTACTATAGCCAAGTTATGGAAACAGCCACGATGCCCCACCACTGACGAATGGATCAAGAAAATGTGGTATCTATACACAGTGGAATTTTATGCAGCCATGAAGAAGAACGAAATGTTATCATTAGCTGGTAAATGGATGGAATTGGAGAACATCATTCTGAGTGAGATTAGCCTGGCCCAAAAGACCAAAAATCGTATGTTCTCCCTCATATGTGGACATTTAGATCAAGGGCAAACACAACAATGGGATTGGACTATGAGCACATGATAAAAGCGCGAGTACACAAGGGAGGAGTGAGGATAGGTAAGACACCTAAAAAATTAGCTAGCATTTGTTGCCCTTAACGCAGAGAAACTAAAGCAGATACCTTAAAAGCAACTGAGGCCAATAGGAGAAGGGGACCAGGAACTAGAGAAAAGGTTAGATCAAAAAGAATTAACCTAGAAGGTAACACCCACACACAGGAGATCAATGTGAGTCGATGCCCTGTATAGCTATCCTTATCTCAACCAGCAGTAACCCTTGTTTCTTCCTATTATTGCTTATACTCTCTCTACAACAAAATTAGAGATAAGGGCAAAATAGTTTCTGCTGGGTATTGAGGGGGTTGGGGGGGAGAGGGAGGGGCGGTGGGTGTAAGGGAGGGGTGGGGCAGGGGGAGAAATGACCCAAGCCTTGTATGCGCATATGAATAATAAAGGAAAAAAAAATTTTAAAAAGATGGTGTAAGCCAGATGCAGGTGGCTCATGCCTATAATCCTAGCTCCTCAGGAGGTTGAAGCCAACCTGAGCAAGTAGTTTACAAGACCCTATCTATCTCGAAAATACCCAATATCAAAAAGGGCTGATGGAGTGGTTCAAGTGGTAGAGCTCTTGCCTAGCAAGCATGAGGCCCTGAGTTCAAGCCCCATCACCACAAAAAAAATTTAAAGATGATATAGATGTACTATACATTTATAGTCATTGACATATATTGAGGAATAAAAGGGAGGGTATACAACAATATATCCCACTTATGTAAAATTACATATCAATGTTTCCTTATGTGTATATGTATGCATAAAGAATTATCTGGAGGAACTATAGGGGCAGAGTAACTCAGTGGTAAAGTTCTTGCCTAATATGCA